TGGTGGGGATGAAAGTAGAGGCTGCTGGCTTGCTTGAGCCTTGTTCTTGGGCTCAGGATCGAGGGCTCGGGGTTGAGACGGGGCTTAGGGTTTAGTTACGCCGCAAAGTTTAGGATTTAGGCTGTGGAATTCAGGGCTTTGGGTTTAGGATGTAGGGTTTATTTAGTCCAGTAGCAGCATGTAACACAAGATAACATAATAATTTGGCTTGATAAGGCAGAAACCCAAAACAGACAGACAGTTTCCCCGACCGAAAAAACACACACCTCAGCCACAGAGCCTACAGTTCTTGGGGACCCTACACCTCGCACCCTAAGAGCCCCAGAGCCGTCAGTTCTTGAGGAGCAGATGGTCCCTCATCAATCTCTGGCCGAGGCAGGGCTTTCTGCCTGGTCTGTAGGGCTGCATAGGGTTGAGGGTTTAGGCTTTAGGATTTAGGGTTTAGGGTTTAGGGTTCAGGGCCTTTAGGGTTTAGGGTTCAGGGTTTAGGATTGCAGGGTTGAGGGTGAGTCTGCTTAAGGTTTGCGAGGTTGGTGGGTTGCGGGCTGGGGTTGTGGGTTGTGCGTTTATTTATGGGTGCTGGGGTCCCGGGGTTTATGGTTTTGAGGTTTCGGGCTGAGGTCGCGAGTGTTTAGCCAAATGAGTGTGAGGGATCTTCTTCCTGGGTAGAACTATACGATATCGTACCCCAAAATCCGGTTTTGATTATCAAGGCCTCTATCTCATACTCCTACTTGAGCCTTCGATCTACATCCGACGCGTCGCAAGCACTGCGCCCTAAACCCGGAAGGCTGAGCCGAAGCCCTAAGCCCCAAGAAACCTGTGATCGGTGGGCTGAGGGTTGGGCTGAGGGTTAACGGTTTTTTGGTTTGGGGAAAGCTGTGGATGCAAGCCCTTCTTGACGAATCGCTGCTCTGATGGTCGTAGCATCGCATCCAACTTGCGGGCCACCCTGCGTTTTACAGCCAAAAGACTTCTAAGCCTAAAACATGACCTGAACCACTGCTTTTCCTCCTGTTCCTCATTTGGGCCCTCCTCAGACGAGGACGTGATGCCTTCTCATGATTTCGAGGATGCAAAGCTTGAGTTCAGTCAAATGGCACTACGGAAGTCGATCCGGTACTATATTCATCCCTGAACCCATCCTTCAGCTGGTTTAGCTTATGCCCTGACCGATAACTAATCCCAAAGCCTCAAACCCTAAACTATCTAATCCAGAGTTTAAATCGCACCTGTCAGCTGCGCCGACGTGGCACAGAGTTAAGCGCTCATTTAAGATGTGCAGTCAGTCAGGAGCCCATGGCAGCCTCAAAGAAACCATGTAATGGGCGACTAAACCCGAAGCCCTAAATCCTAAGAGGCTCTTTCCTTGACGGATGAGGGGGAGCTCGAGGAAGCGCTCAGGAGGCTTCAGGTGCCTGGCTCTGAAGGGGCCGTAGGGGCCCGCCGCGGTTTAGGGTTTCGGGTTTAGGGTTTAAGGGTTTAGGGCTTAGGGTTAGGGTTTAGGGTTTACGGCTCTTTGTGGCTTCCTTAGGCCATCAAAACATGCTGCATCAAAACATGCTGACCTCCCGTTTCCTCGTAATGTGGGACCTCTAGACCTTGAGAATGGATGTAGCTGAAGGCAGGAGCCATAGAAGGCCCAGTGGCGCTTCGGCAGTCTATCTTGGTCGAATGCTCTAAGCTTTCTTGAAGTTGTAATTTGGGTTGCAAAGCAACCTTGTATTGGCGGTCGTCAGGTTGGTCTACAGCTTGTGTTCTTGGTAGAAGCCTTTTGGTGAGCGGCGAAGAATCGCGGGTCACGTGACGTTTTTCGTACTTCCCAGATTCCCTCCCGCGGATACGCCCTGCAACCTGACGTCCTGACTAATGTGGCGCTTCGACCACAGGGTCGCATTCATGGTTTGGGTCCAGTTTGGGTTTCATGTGTCGGGACTTAGGGTTGTAGCCTACTCTTGGCGGAGCATTAGGAGAGGTTTCGTCATTTGCCAGTTCGATTTGTCCAGGCATGCTATTATCACGCTTTCAGAAACCTTTTTTGGTAGCATGCGAGCCAGACATCCTCGAAAAGCCGCGTAGAGCCTGAAAGCTTGAACTCAAGCTCGCGCTGAGGAGCTTCCACCGGCGGAGCTCCGGCGGAGACGCACCATCTTGCATCTCAGCTTGAACCCGAAACCCTAAACCCTAAACCCTAAACCGGTCCATCTTTGTTGCGGGGTCCAAGATACCTTGAACCCGAAAGGTTCACAGTGTGCTGGCAGCAGACACCCCGCCCCAAAGGCACACGGATCTTATGTCGCGCTTTCATCCCAAGTAATTACACATCAACCCCATTAACTTCCAAAACACCATCCTTGCCGGGCCCCGGGCGCTCAGGGTATGGACTTCATAAGGAAAGTCAAGTACCCGAAGACTCTTTGAGGGTGAAAAATCCTGGCTTTCCGTCCCGACTTCAGAACAGGTTACATCTCAATCTGAACCGACCTGTGTTAATCAGGTTCTCGCCGGCGAACTCGCTCGATGGTTGGGAGATACTCGGATCTTCCCAACGTGCCTGAGTGACCTCCTTTTGTCCGTCGCGCCACTTCTTCCGAGGCCTCGACGACTAATCACTGACACTCTGCTGCAACTTCCCTCGCCGCTGAGGTTCAGAAACTGGTAATTATGTCTCAATGCTTACAGAAGCTCGCTACTGTTGCTATGATGGTGTACTGGGAAGCTGCGAAAGAGGAGCTCGGCGTTATGACAAATTAACTTCAGTTGTTTAATGCTGCCCCTGTGTTGGGGGGCCGTGCGAAACAGAGGCCTGCGGGGCCAAAGTTTCGGGTTTAGGGCTCAGCGTTCGCACCGGATTAGGGTGCGTGGCTCGCGCCCTGAACGCAGATGCTTCGAGAAATTCGGCGCATGCAGGAAGGCGTGAGGGACTGGATCTCGATGGATCTCGATTGCGAGTCATCCACTCATTTCTTGCATTCTCCCCTCCCTTTCCTGCCGACCAGCCAGAACTGGAAAGGACTCTTGCATTGTGCCTGTGCGGCATGTTGGACAACAAGCAGCTGCTAGCGCATGCGGGGGCGGAGTTTTCATGAGAATTGAGCCAGCTTGAGAGCGCTATATAGAGATATTTCAGTCTATGCCCCGAAAACAACTCTGGACCCTAAAGAGCCGGTTCGATGATTGAATTAGCAACAGCATTATTTCTTCCGTCCCTACATGATATGTACGTCTATTTCATTACACCCCAGAGAAGCCGATTCTAGCTATTCAGTCTCTCTGTCTCTCTCTGTCTCTCTCCCTTCTGTCTCTCTCTGTCCCTCGCTGTCTCTCTATACGTACATAATCTTACATATATGTACATGCATACATGACCCATCACCTCAAGCTGCCTTGCCACCGGTTGGCTGCCAGGGTGCACGCGCAGCCGGAGACGAGGACTGGGGAGGAAGGTCGAAGGATTGGAGTTTAGGGTTATATGTGTGAGTATGTGTATTACATACATACATATAATCTATTTATAATCTAGATAGATTTAGATATATGTGCCTACATATGTCTATGTGTATACATCTGTACATGTATGTATCTCTGTATAAATATGTACATAAATATGTACATACGTGTGCATATGTTATATGTGTAACTCCAACGGTACAATCATGGCCTGGCCACTTTCACCCAGAAGTGCATCCAGTGGGGAAGTTACGTTCTGGTGGAGCGGTTCGCCCAACGTCCCTACATGCCCTCAGCCTGAGGCATGGAGCTCTGGGGTTTCGGCTGTAGGAAGATCTGGATCACGAGATCTTCAGCTAACTTGCTTGCGAGTTTATGAGCATAAGGCGTGCGCTAGCAGGAATCCTAACAATGAGAATCCCGTCGCTTGGCTTCTAGACTAGTGTCCCGCAAACTCCCACAACCAACCCTAAGCCCCAAAGAGCGACAGCCTCGGCAAAGCAGGAGGAGGACGAGTTCTTCGAGACTCCCGACGAGAAGCGTGTACGCCTGGCAAAGGACACCGCACAACCGGAAGTTTTTGCAGCTTAAGAGGTGTCGGGTTTACGGCTTAATCGCTCAGGGCTGAAAGTTTATGGTTTCTGCATTCTTGCAGAGGCTTGGTTTTATGTATCGTATCGGCAACATAGGGACGCTGATTGGAACGCAGTCGGGGTTCTAGTAGAATCAGGTAGAGCCGAGACCTCGAACAGGAGCGTGCGTGATTTATGGCGGAGTGCGTCCCGTAGAGTCCCCGTGCCACTGTACTTCGGAGGCAGGGCTTAAGGCTACAGGCTTCAAGTGCAGTGGCCATGACATATCACCCTGAACCTAAAGCCTAAGCCCTAAAACCCCGCTTCCTTTCGAGGCAGGGTGTGTTTGTTCCTTTGGGTAAAGGCTTACTCCATAGTCTCATAAGCAGTCTAACCACGAAAATCCAAAACCTCAAGCCCTAGCACCCTAAGCCCAAGAAGCCATGAGCCCAAAAGCCTCAAGCCGCCTTGCCCGCAGGAGTATCTCAAGACCATCGGAGAGGGGAAGACCCGAGAAGAGGTTCAGGAGCCCGGCTCGGGATTCAGAGGATCTTCAAGGTACAAAATAATAATAGTAATTATAATGATAATAATAATAACAATAATAATAATATTAATAACAATAATTATAACAATCATAATAACATTCCAAATGATGGAAATAAGAAAAATAACAATAATAATATTAAAAATAATAGAAATAATAGGGTTGAGGGTTTAGGGTCCAAGACCCAGGCCAATCTGTATAGGGCGTTTTGGTTCGGATGAGCCTCATTCATCGCAACCAGACAGAGTCGCCCCTGAAGGCCTGGTGTTGTCACAGTGTTGGCGAAATTGCTTTTTTCATGTAGCACCCTGCTACATGCCTAGACAGCTTGCATGTTGTAGTTGCGCGAAAAACAGCACGCACCACTCATGCAGCGTAAGGAAACTCAGACGAGTCAGAAGCCTCGGGCTTTCGCTGAGGCTCAAGATATCGCGACTGGATTTTCGGCGCTAGGATTTGTTGTTTGAGTACACCTTCAAGGCAAGTTCTGCTCCGATAGCTTCTAGCGGCTTGATGGGTCCGACAGGGATCCTCCAGAGAGGATGTAATTAGGTTCGAATCGGTAAGCGTAACTTGAGGCTCAACCCTGCAGTTTCGACTAGATCTCGACCTTTAACTTCCAGATCCCAAATGACAAATCTGGACCTCTGCCCGTCAACCTTTCCAGGCACCCGAAGCCGTGAACCTAAATCCCTGAACCCTGAATCCTAAACCCTAAACCCTAAATCCCTGAATCCTGAATCCTAAACCCTAAACCCTAAATCCCTGAACCCTGAATCCCTCTTGGCAGGAGGAGCTCGCGAAGGATACCTCGCGGCGGCAGGCAGATCGGGGGTTGTCGGGCCTTTGTTGCTTACGGCTTGAGGTATCTTGGGTTTAGGGTTTTGGGTTAAGGGAATATAGGGCTTAGGCTTTAGGGTTCAGGGTTTAGGGTTTAGGGTCTTGGGTTTGAGTTTAGGGTTTAAGGTGTGCCAAAGACGCACGCGCCAAAGCCACGCACTTACTCAGCTTGCGGGGTTTTCAAAAGGTGCTTCGTGCTGTGGAGCAGGGATGTAGTGGACTTGTCGTGCTCTGTGCTGTGCGGGGTCACTTCTACTTAATTATTCAGGCCCTGTTCATTGTTTGGGTCGGGGCCACCCTCCACCTTGAACCGTAAATTCATTTACTCAGGTTTTGAAGATCACTCTTTGACATTCTCTCTCGCTCTCTCGACTTGCTTCCTTGGATGGTTGCAGCAAACTGCGGATCCCCCCCATGTAATATCAGGGTCCTTTAGTTTATCTGATAATCTTCAGCAATCATGGACTTGTCTTGAAGGAGCCAAGCGGTTCAAGAGCTCGCATGACGGGTCTATTCGTGAGGTTTTCTTGTATCTTTGCTTGCTCAACTGTTCCTACCACAATGCCGAACCTTACGCTCTAAACCCAATGTCAGGCAACCCAAAACCCTAAACCCTAAACCCCAAACCTGCTTCTCCTTGTGAGCAAGCTTGGGAGCTTCAGAATGTCATGGGTGAGAGCCATCCTGCACCCGCTAACATCGGGAGCAGAGGAGCAGACAGGAACTAACGCGGACGTCTCGGGATATACGGCTTCCTACACTTTTCTTTTCATCCCCAAAGCTTATCTTGTTCCCTTGTGCCGCGCTTCTTCTCTTGTGCGAGCGTCCAAGTACTAGCAACGGCCCCCTATTTACCCCAAGACCTTATTCCATTTATTAAGCCCCCCCCCCCAAACCCTAAACCCTAAACCCTAAACCTTAAACCCTAAACCCCCCATATATGGGGCTAAGCCCGAAAACCCTCAGATATAGCAGGTATCAGATCTGGCTCTCGGCAAGCCTCGATTTCTGCGAGGGCGCGTCGGGCTAGCGTCGAGGGTTGAGGGTTGATGGCTTGGAAATTAAGGGTTTCGGGTTTAGGGTTGAGGTGCTAGGGTTTAGGGCGTTCTGGTTGGGGTCCTGGGCTTAGGCTTCGGTCTTTAAGGCCATTTTAGAGTCATGGTCCTTCGTGGCAGCGTGTTCCACACCTCGTAATCAGATGTAATCGGCCTTTCATCAGAACACGTTCCGACGACTTGGCGCCTTCACAACATCAAACACCCTTAGTTAGTTGAGACCAGTCCTAAACCTCAAGCTCGAAGTTCCTAAACCTTATAATCGAAAGACAGGCCCCCAAAACCCTGAACCAAGATGCCAAGCTCATGCTGAGTCTCAGCTTGAAGTCATAAGAGCTCAGGGATGGTGTTTGCAACTTACAGCTCAAAGCTCAGAGCCTAAAACTCAGGGTTTAGGGAAGTGCAGGGTTTGGGATCAAAGCTTGGGCTTGAAGTTGAAAAGCGAGGAGGGAGCGGGGCTGCGGCTATCTGAGGAGAGTGCAGTGAACATTGCAAGTGTGGGGGCTGTTCCAGCTTCTGGGTTTGTCAAGGCGGAGATACTGCTAGTGACGAGTGAAGTAGGGCACTCTGAACGGAGCACTGACAAAGAGCCATGATGATATGGCGTACGGAGAGCTGAAGATCGTACATTTCCGCCCGAAGCCCTAGCCCTAATCTAGTCGAAAACCTCCTTCCAACCCTGATCTCTAAGCCCCTTCGTCCGGAGACAACAGAAACCAAGAACTTGAACCCTGAACTTCCCTGAAGTGCCCAAAACCCTACACCCCCCACACACCAGCCGGCAGCATTGAAGCCGCCAAACAGCCAGCTGAAAGCCTGAAAGACTTGAGCACGAAACCCTGCATCTTCATGCTGAACCTTATGTCCTGCATGAACCCTAATTCCGAAACCTTAGCTCTCCGATCCTTAATCCTTAAAACCCTAAACCCTAAACTTCGTAAAGCTCGACAGGGGGTTGGATGGTGGTAGCAAACCCTTCGGTGCCCTCGGCCGGGTCGTCTTCTACCTCCACATAACTGCCTGCTGTTGGTTCAACAGGGTCGTTTTGGACTTGGTCTATGCTGGTCTACGTCGTCTGAGGCCTGTTTCACCCAGTGTAGGCTCGCAGAGGCTGGATGGTCGTAAAGTCCGTTCCATTGCACTTAAAAAAAGACTTCGTAAACCCTAAACCCTAAATCCTAAACCCTAAACCCTAAACTTCCTAAACCCTACCTAAACCCCTAGTCCTTAGACCACTCAACCCAGCAGGCACAAGATGGCTGTGACCAGCGTGTGTCTGACTGCAGACGAAGGCGCTGAAGGGAGCTCCAATTTAGGGTTTAGGGTTTATACGGTTTAGGGTTTATAGGTTATAGGGTTTAGGGTTTATCGGGTTTAGGGTTTAGGGTTTATAGGGTTGAGGGTTGAGGGTTTAGGGAAGAGCATACCTTGCGGTACGATACCGGGGTCTGATAAGGGTGCTATATGGGGTTTGTACACTGTTTTGTTGCTTCCAGGCGCTAGGGTAAATACAACTCCTGACAGTTCCCTAACATAACTACACTATAACCCCCCCCAAGCTAGTCTGATTTTTGTTGGTATAGCGTAAGAGTAGGGTGTAGGTCAAGTGTAGGTGTAGGGATTTAGGAGAATAGACTTGTGAAGTCAGCCGAGCTTCCCAGCAAGAAATGGGTGTGGTCCAGCTCTAGTTTTCCGTATTCGATCTTTGCTTTGGGGTGGATCTACACTCAAGGATCTCCAAAGAGGCCGAGGGTCGAACATGGTTTTTCAGTGCAATCCCCTATCTTGCACTCAACAATGTCACCATCTACACACGATCAATCTACACCCAAGCGGTATTCTACGAGAAGACTCCCAACAAAAAGCCCAGTCTGATTCTAAGACCCGGACCCCAGCTCCGAGATGCATTCACTCAGCAATAGTGTAGGCCCAGGGTTTTTGGGGGTCCCTTACTATATTTAGAGCATCATGTACGCCAAATCCTATTCTAATTATTAAGGCCCCTGTATTATACTTCCACGGTTCGGACTTGAGCCAATCTGACAAGCCAATGCCGTCAAGACATGTCATATGCATTGTCATTGAGCTGAAACGTGGTGTGAAAGCATACTGTCGTCAAGCATTTACGCCCAAGAGTCAAAGCCCCGGAACAGCCGATTTCGAAGGCCATGTTTGTTTGTTTATGTTAGTTCTGCCTGGAGGTGGAAGTAGATGAGTGTGCATGGTGAGCGAGCATCCGAGTAAGCATGGCAGTTTCCAGCCATGCGCAGAAGAGGTTTCGCTTCCAAGCTAGCCTTTCCGGCCTGCCCAAAAGTGAACCCTAAACCCCAAGACCCCAAGCCCTAAAAACCCTAAATCCCTGGACTCTAAAGCCCTCAAGCCCTAAAGCTCTGAACACAAAACCCCTCAAACCCTAAAGCCCTAAAGCCCTTAACTCTCATTCCTGGCTCTGCTCTCAAATTTCCCCCTTCAGAGCGCCAGGCACGATGTACACCGGCGGCAAGGATTGCGCAGTGCTGCGCTGGGATGTCGAAACCGGCAAAAAGGAGCTGCACAGATCTTCGGGTATGTCTTTCTGCTGTCATTTTCTTTCATGTCCTTTCGTACAGAGACTATCACTCCAATGCTTGATTCTCAGGGTTGAGGTTCATGATTTCAGGCGAGAGGGTTACCAAAATCCTGCAGCAGGCGGATGTGGGATGTGTCAGCCGGGTTGTGTGACTTTACGTATTCTATCAAAACTCTGGCTTTATGGCAGGACGTTTTTCCGGGTGGTCGCAACAAGTTCGACTGTGGCGGCCACTTCGAGAAGGCTGTGAGAGGAGTTGCGGAGTCCCCCTAACCCCTAAACCCTAAGCCCTAAACCCTAAACCCTAAAGCCAGTATACCTTGAAGGCAAGCTCCTAAGCCTCTTACTCCATGATTTCTACAGCGTCTACAGACTAAAGCCTGAGCCCGAACCTTCAACCCGAGCCCAAGGAACGGTTTTGTGGGGTCTCACCTCGAAGACCATAAGTAGCCCCGCGCCTTCAGGGTTTAGGGTTTAGGGTTTCCGAAATGCCACATAGACCTGAAAGCCTCAAACCCCCAACTTCCGAAGCCCTTGCGACGTACAACCCTACAGCTCCTACGCCTTAAACTCCCTAAACCCGAACCCGAGACTTCAAAGCCCAAAATCCCTGAACTCCAAGGCCTAAGGCACCACACTTCGCAGCCTCCGGAAGCTCGGGGGGATGCTACGGGGCCGTTTTAACAAAAGCGGCTTTACAGGGGTTCATGATGGGGATCATATTCGGGAATCCAATTCCCAACTCCTCTAAAGGAGCACAAGATGTTAAAGCCCAAGTGCTAAACCACGCGCTCGAAACCCCGACCCCTAAGCCTCAAACTCTAAACCCTACACGGAACCCCGTCTGATTTCAACTCACGGCCCTCTGAAGGTCCTTTCTGTGGCCCTGCTCGAAGAGAAAGGGCTCCTTGTGAGTGTGGGGGTGGATCGCTTGGCCCTGCTGCCAGTTTAGGGGTTTGGGGTTTATGTTTTTGGGGTTTAGGGTTTTTGGGGTTTCGGGTTTTGGGGTTTAAGGGTTTGGGGTTTAGAGTCTTGGGGTTTGGGGTTTAGGGTTTTGGGGTTTTGGGCTTTCTGGTTGTGAGGGTTCTGCAAGGGCTTCAGCATTTAGAAGTGAGTAAGGTTCGAGGCTTCAGCGATTGCCGGGTGTCGTCTCGGAGGTCAAAGGCATTGGAGGCCATGGGCCTTAGACCCAAAGCCCTAAGCCCAAGGGCCACTACACTTAAAAAAAGAAGCACCTTGGGCTTCTCAAATTTGGGCTTCTCAGATGTTTGGTTGTTGAGTTTCGGGCTGAGTTTTTTGGTCCCCAGAACCCGAAACCCAATTGGGCACCAACAGTAAGCCGGAAAGCCTAAACCTTACATCGTCCCTTTGTGTGCCTATGGCGAGCACAGGGGGGATCTCCCCTCAGGGATCATTCTAGCTTCTAGGGCTTGGGGTCTGAGGTGTAGGGATCTTTACGGTTAATTCTTTAACATATTGCAAAACGCGAAGAGTGCTGAGTACGCTTGCGTTTGATTCTCGGTCCTAGAAATCAGTTGTCTTGGGGTGCAGAGTGCTTTACACAGCGACTATATCAGGGGGAAGAGCTCCAACGGGGTTTTATGTGGCATTTGGCACCGAAGCCCGAAGCTCTAAGCCTCTAAGCGCCAAGCCCCAAACCCTAAGCCTCGAACCTTCCAGCCCAAAGTCGGATTTCAGCGGGAGGAGGGCCACGAGTGCAGGGTTTCCAGTGGGGCTCCGGGTTCGCTGTTCCGAATCCTTGCTACAAGGTATTTCTCTGCCGAATTCGAGGCGGCGTGGGCTGAGGAAGCTTTTGGATAAACATTAAAGCTTGAAGCGCCTGACATCTTGCGACCAAATTGTGCAACACATCAGATCCGATCTTCGACGGAATCGTCTTTCCCTAACAACTCCACTATCCGATGCCAGGTGAGACTTTGGGACCCGCGTGCGGCGGCAACCAGCAGCTCCTCGACTCAGATCAGATCCGCCAAGCCCCCCGTTTCTGCGGCCTGGGGTTGGGGCTGAATATAGGGTCGAAGCTATTACTAAGACTAGCTCGTAGGGTTCCGTAAGCCATGTATGCTATGATATAATATAATATATCTCAGGCTTCTATGCTGAGGCTGATAGACTTATCGGGGTTCTATGCGCAATACCCAAAACTGCGAGCCACTGGGAATCTTGACAACATTGAGGCCTGTCCACAGCATCCGGGAAGACTGTGCACGATTCGAAAGTTTTATGTAACTCGGGAAACCTGCCGAAGATGCCTGAGTACTGCAATTCTGTGTTTTAGGGTAGGGTTAGGGGTCCATGACCAAGTGCTCAGAAGCCCGAAACCCCTCAGTCTTCTACGAACTGGACATAGTCAAGAATCCTTCGTACAGGTGGCAGGATTGCCCATACAGATCTGAACAGTTCGTGAAGGTATCTCCTCATCGCTCCTATCTCACTATCTTGGAATGCAAGATCGAGCCCTTATCTCGTGTTTTTTTTTCGCGGGGCATCTAGGGGCTTCAGAGCCATGCAGAAGCTCGTGGTACCGTTTAAAAGCCCTTGTGGTTGACCTTGCAGATGACCAATTCATGCGATGCTCCAGCTGTCGACATGGGGATGACTTGTCGTCTACAAGACAGGTCAGAATGAAGAGCCGGAAAGCCCCACATACTCTTTCGGATGTGTAATTTGCAGCTAGCTTTCAGTCTATGTTAACCCTCAAGTTTCCACCCCATCCGAATTTGGCAGTCTAAGTGGGTCGCGGGCCTTTCCATAGCCTTGCATTGCCCATGGGCGGCCCTGCATAGAAATGACAACGTCCTCCATCATATCATATCACGTCACAACCTGTTGTACAACAGTCTATATGTTTTTACACCATGTTGCGTTTATGTGTCTATGTATATACACACATACACCCACCCCCCACACACAACCACACACGCACACGCACAGACACCATGCTGCTAAACTTGCTTATCTTCCTGCTTGTCAAACTCTTGAGCCTTTTGAAGCCGTCTGCTCCTATGCATGGAGCCGCGCGGCATGCCCACATGGTGAGAGCCGCCGCGCGCGAAGCCGCCGCGGAGATGCAAAAGGACGGGCGATGGTTTAGGGAGGGTATCCAATGGTTTCGAGTTCAAGAGCTGGGAATGCGAGAACATGATGAACCCTGAGCCGTAAAGCCCTAGGCCCAAACAGAGCCCCCAAAACCCTCAACGTCTAAACCCCAGACCCTGAAGCCTTCACCTCAAAACTCTAAATCCTGAGAACTCCAGACCTTACAGTAGCACAACAACACAAAACTAAACATACAACATACTTCTCCCTGGGCCTTGAAGGAGCATCTAGATCCTTCTAAATCCTGCCGAAGCCAAAAACGCTAAACCCACACTTCGGGTTTAGGGTTTAGGGCTTTAGGGCTTTTGTTGGGTTTCGGGCTTAGGGCTTTCGGGTTTACGGTGGGCCCACACCGTCGAGGAGTTCAAGCTGACCTTTGATGACTTTGCTTGCCATCTCCCAGAGGCTAGAGAACTTTGTTTTTGAAAAGGGTTTAGGGTTGAGGGTTGAGGGTTGAGGGTTTAGGGTTGAAAGGTTTTAGGGTTTAGGGTAAGACTTCGAGGTTTTTGAGGGTTTTCAAGGGCGCTAGAGGGCTGCAAAGGGCTTTCAGGGGTTCCAAAGAAAATTTAACGGTTTTTCAGGGGTTCCAAAATGATCCAAAGGGGTTTTCAATGGGTCTAACAGAGATTTAAAGGTTTTTCAAGGGCTTAGGGCCTAGGGTCTGATATTGTAAAAAGCAAAACGAAGGGTTTAGGCTCGAGGGCTTGAAAGGGTGTAGCCTGGAGCTGTGAGGATCTAGGGTTCTTGGGGTTTTTAGGTTTTAGTGTGTTTCAGGGCTTTAAGGAGGCATTAATGTTTTCGAATTCTTTCGACCATGATAACGTCCACACAGACTCCATCCCCATGTCCCAACCATGATAACGTTCACACAGACTCCATCCACTCTTCTCGCAACGGCACCCCGCCGAGAGGTGATGCATCAGGATGTATAGGTTTAGTAAAGCATTATTCTGACATAAGAGATTCTGTTAGCCGTCGCAAAACCGGTTTATACGATATTTACGAGGGTTTCCTACTTCTCAGCATACTGGGTCTTTATGACTGTGCGGCAAGACGCGCGGTCGGAGCGGCCACTGGGCCAGGTGCAGCCGAATCTGATCGCTGCGGATTTCCCGTCGCGCGCGCGGCAGCACTGGCTTGGATCCCCAGAGGTGTTTCTGGAAGTTGCGCCACGGCTTGGGTGCCTAAAGGGGCCTAAATAATTACCAATCCTATTTTTGGGGGGTGGCTAATTAGAGTTATAGTAGAATATACCCAAAATCCTTATTCTCATTATTACGGCCCCTATATTGCAATTGTGTGTGGGTGCGCATCTTTGGGCTGTGGTTTCTTTTGTAACGATCTCCTGTCTATTTCGGGTAGCTCCTGGGGAGGGGAAGTTCTTGGAATCCTCTGGGTGGAGGCACTGAAGCACAGGGTCTGCATACTTCAAACTTATGTGAAGGTCCTGGCAGGTAAGCCGAAGTTCGACATCTCTAGACTCACCGCACAACCCGAGCTGTCTTGTGAGCCTAAGTCCCTAATGGAATCCGGCTAGGCTCCAAGTTTCTCGCGTCGTGACAGTCCGCATGACCGGTTACATAAATCGTGAACTTTCCTAGGCCCCAAGCCCTAAAGCCTGCACACTGCAAAAAGCCTCGTGACGTTCTGCTCCGAGCAAGACGTGAGGCTGGCCGCTCGCTTGAACCGGGACCATGCTGGCAGATATCTGGTTGTGAACCTCTCTGGCACAACTTACGAAGCCTGGACTTGGATGGGGCTTTCTATGTTTCTAGTCGATTTTGATCTACTGGTGGAGCTTATGCTATATACAAGTCCCAACAGCAGGTTTCCCCGCTATCACAGCGGCCACGATGGCATTGACTGCTGGTGGTGGTGTTGTTGTTGTTGTAAAGATGGTGACGATAATGACATATCTGTTGATGCTGCTAATACGAGGGCTGTATTTCGAACTGCAAGACTCTTGCGGAGTCCAAACCTGCAAAATCCAGTTTCTTCGATATCACCTTCCTTTTCGCACACTGTCCAGCTCGATAGCAGTCAGGGTTTCCGACTTTTTTTAAGCATCGGTGAAGGCTTTTTGCCTCAGAGAGGATGAACAACTGCTTGGCCTCCTCGTCCTAGGGAGACAAGACCACCATAGTATCAACAACCGTGTCACGGTATCCATCATCTTAATAGTCTTAACAATCATCTCTGCCATCATCATTCTCATCCTCCGCGTTGGCGCCACCATCGTCATTACTTTGGTGGGGAGTGTCCCTATCGCAACAACAATTCGTCGCTAATCTCTCCTCCTTCAACATCACCATTATCATTACTTTCATGCTCACTTGATCTTCATCCCTATCCTCATCTTCACCCTGATTCTCATCCTGATTCTCATCCGCGCTACTTTCGCCACCACCGCCACTATGGTCCGAATCACTCCGTCATGCTCAACATCCCGGTCATCACTACCAGCACCATCATCGTCGTAATCGTCGCCCCACCCGGGATCACCAGAGTTGTCGTCGTCGGCAGGAACACCATCAATGTCATGTTTACCGTCACCGTAAAGATCAACCACATCATCTTTGATCATGTGAAAAGCATTACCCATCTCCAGCAAATGCGTCGTGTTGTCGGTCTCGGCGGGGCCCAGCGGATCTGTTTCCCCAGTTTCAGCAAGCTGGAAATATTTAGCTGTACTTATTCGTTGACATACATCCATCCATCCATCCATCCATCCATCCATCCATACATGCATGCATGCATGCATGCATACATACATACATACATACACGCACACACACATACAAACTTAGTTACTTACTTACCTACTTACTGCTCTCCTTACTTGATTGTGTAGGTGCGTCACTACTTACTGTACATGCTTAATCACTTCCGTGCCTACTTAATTGCTTGCTTACCTACTTGCTTACGTACGTACTTACTTACTTCCTCACTCACCCACTCACTCAATCACTCACTCACTCTTGCACCCTACGCCATGCCCTGTATGTTCACCGTTTCATTCACTTTCCTGCCAAGGAGAACTTCGAGCTACAAGGTGCCAAGGGACCGGACGGAATAGTGAAGGGGTCTCATGAAATTGAGCTTAGGATCTTACAGCTTGAAGAGCTTCCTAAATCCCAGCTTTGAGGGGTTGATGCGAAACCCAAACGCAAGAACATCGGCTTATAATAATCTGTATATACAAGAATACTGCACTCCTGCCCTTGTTGTTAAGGGCCTCCGACTGCCATCAGAGAGCCAGGTCCTGTTTTAGACGTCATGATGTCTGGGTGCGTCCCGCCTTTGGAGGTCCTGCCGACTCCTGAGAAATTCCGTTGCTTCGAGAGGGGTCATGGGTGATCTTTGACGTAGGTTGAGAGGCTTAGTGTTCAGAAGTTTCTTGTGCAGGGGCTCACGATTTGAGTGTAGAGGTTTCGGGTGAAGAGGTGTGGGGGAGAGCGTCTTGGAGAGTGGAGGTCGAGTCGGGAGGGGCAACAGGAATGAGGATTTTCTGCGCTTCCTTAGCTTTGAATGAGCCTTCGCAGCAATTCCTTAATGAGGCTTCGTGATAGTGGGCTTCGGGGCAGATCAGAGCTTACTGCCTAGGGGCCTAGGATCCAAAGGTACTTACTGGGTTCATTTGATTGACTTTTGTGCCTTCAAGGCTCAGGGCATTGGGTTGCAGACGGGTCAGAAGTTTTCCTGTCATTATTTAGCCACAGAGCATGTCAACAAGGACAAGAAGCCTCCGCAATTCTGAGCCCTCATCCGGCAGCCTGACAGGGTTTAGGGCTTAGGGTTTTGAGCTCCAGTCCCTCAGCCCTTGGTTGTTTCAACTTCCAGCACTACCACAAAATACTGCGTCCTGCCTCCCCCAAGAGGCAATCAGGAGGGTACCCTAAATCCTAGCTCTCGATCCTTCCAACAAACGAGACAACCCTATCCCCTCTCGAAGGCTACCCTGAAGTCTTACCGCCAGAGCAACGCTCCAATGCTGTCGCAGATGACGATGGGGATGATGATGGAGATGACGATGATGATGTTGCTGCTGGTGCTGCTGATGAAGAAGAAGATGATTATTATGATCGTGGTAGTGTCTAATTTTTGCTCCTTCCAGGCTGCGGCTAGTGGTGTCCATGCACCGCTGGCTCACCCGGACACCTTTGAATGTCGTTGTTGCCCACGGCCCGAATGCCAGGGCCCTGTAAACGTCCGTCACTAGCTGGCTGAAGATTTACGAGATTTGGGCTTAGGGCTCAGATCAGGACTTCCGAAAGTGAGTGCTTTGGGGGCAGAGGTTTAGGGGGTTTGGGATTTCTGGCTAGCGTTTCAGGCTGGGGGTCCGGATTGTAGGGGTTCCTTCTCACTGAAGCTCTCCGACAGCAAGCGACTCGGCCCTGGGCGTCTTCCTGTGCCCCAAACCCAAACTCTGAACGAAGCCCTTCTGGAGCTCAACTCGTGTCTGGCAGAATACGGCTGCTTCTGGGTTTGTGGGTTTTAGGGGCTCTGGTTGCGGAGGCTGATCCCACAGAGCCCTCTGAACACCCGAGCATGATCCACACCTAAACCCTAAGCCCCAAACCCACATGCCTGAAGCCCTGCAGCTGGCTTCCACTGAGGAGTCTGCTGCGCCGACAGCCACTGGCCCAGGCAGGTACGACTAGGGAGAGAATTGAGCAAGAAAGACGCGGGATCACTAGTTGCTGTTTTGGCCGACGTCATCGTCTATGGTTGTTGTGGTCGTTGTCGTCGTCGTAGTGCCAGTGGTACTGGTACTAGGAGTATCATCATCAGCCGTGAGGATTCGTTGTCTGCACAGCCTCGATAGCCTTGACCGGCTGTATGCTTCATAGCATAGCCAAAACTCAGGAGCAGAAGATATCGGTCAAGCGTGAGCACCTGAAACCCTCGCCCTACCCCGGCCCCCCCCCATTCCAAACCTCAGAACCAGTCTCGACCTATGCGCGAAAGTGCCGGAAACTCTGGTAGGACCCTGTCCGGTCGTGCTCCTCTACGCCTGCTGCTGGGTTCGAGTGGCCCATTTTTCTGAGCTTTTGTGGGTAATTACTTTTGTGTGTTTTTTGGGTTCCAGCTTCCCTGATGCCTGAAGCCGGACAACAGAGAGTCTTGCTGCCGTTTCTTACAGGATATCCCTTCTTAGATGCCTTGCCTCTGCTTCCCGCAGCCCACCCCTGGACCCCCTAAGACCCGAACCCACAAACCCGAAAACCCCAATCCCCAAATGTAGAGCTCTTAGAGTAGCCCTTTTTGTAGATAAAGCTTACACCGGTGTCTCAGACTAGTCATTGTAGTAACCCGTATAGAGAATTATTAAATAGTACGGGTTGATGATATAAATCCCGCATTGCCCATATTTAATAAGAAATATATCATAATGCCCATAGTTCAGGATCCTTAAAGTAGTGCAGGATTTATATCATCATTATCGTATCTCTTTCCAGTCTGTAGAATCATTGTAAACCCCAAACCCTAAACCCTA